CAGAGCAGCTGAATTAGGCAAGAAGTCGCTTTAACAAACAGTAAGGAAAGAGTTTCTTCATGTGCTCAAGAATAAAATGCATCAAAACTTAAAGCCAGACATTTGCATTTTCTAACTATCCCAACAAATTCAATAATCTTGTTTCTCAAATATTTGATGTTTCCTTTTACAATTAACAATTTGGCGATTCTTGAACTATATATTTTATAATCATATTTTTAAAATCGATATTAAGGTTGAACTATTGAATTGAACAAATCTTATTACCATTTATATGATAGTAGTAATTCAATAGCTATCTACAGTTGCACTATACACCTGTGTGTATGTGTCACACTAAATACACATCTTCAAAAATCACTAAAGATGCATCACGTTCTACTTTATAAACTACTCTAAGTAGACAATGTGGATCTCATCCCTAAAACTTTAAGTACCCCATGGGGGCAACTTTGAAGGTACTTTATGAGCCTTTAACCTTTTTTCTTATTTATTTTGGTTACCAAATAGAATTTTAATTACTAAATAGACTATTATTAATTTAAATATTAAAGTGTTTACTTCAAGATTTATCCTTAAATTTTCATGTTGATCTACTTCAAACCATGGACTATTGTAAGAAGAATCGCATGGCTAATTCACACATTCACAGGATAACTTAGATTTACCTTTTTTTATATATATATACATTTGATTATATATGGATTATATAATACAAGATAATTTTTTTTATTTTTAATTTTTTTATTTGACTTAAAATTTAAAATTTTAAATTAAAATTTTAAATTCTTAATAATTGAATTACTTATTAAGTTAGAGTTACCCTTCATTAATAGCAAGAAAATGTCAATAAAATGTCTTCTTCATGTAAAGTGAATTGCCCGTTACTATATTATTTCTTTTATTAAGAAAGTTTTGATGTTTTTGGAAAGACCCATTTTTTGAAATTTGATGTGATATAAGATTCCTTTCAAACTCCAGGTCACTTTGTTCATGTCTACTCCAAAAAAAACTTCAATTAATTGTACTCCCCTAGAGCATTAGGCAAAAAATTAGAGAAACACAAACCCTCAAAAATATTGCAACAACTTTTTCAAAAGAGGAAAACTTTTTGTAGGATTTTCTTTTTTTTTTTACTAAAATTAAAACTCTATACGTTCATAACAGATCATTTTGTATCTACATAAATAAGAAAAGCTTTATTCAACTATTCAATCTATGGGAGAACCAAGAAAGAGGGAAAAGTCAGAAAAAAGAAAGACAAGAAAGGGTAGACGCGGACATGATAATAAAAGATGAGAAGAAAATCTATGCACACAGGCAAAAGGACGAGGGGAAAAGAAATGGAAGATGCCCTAGATAAAGTCATACAATTATTTATTAGGGTTTTATAAATTATTTAGTTTTTTTTTTTAATTTTAATTTAATTATTGATAACAATAGATAATTAGTAAAATAATTAATATTTATTATTTAATAAATTAAGATTACGTTATAAATTAATATTTTTAAATATTATAATTAATTACTTAACAAATAAATTGATAAACCAAAAAAAAGAAAGAAAAGAAAAGCTAAATTGTATGGTTATGACAATTGACCATGTGACCATAATAATCACATTTGGGAAAGGGAAAGAAAATGGGGAAACTCACTTACACAACCAAATCACAAAAATACTAGAGGCAATTTGATAAAAAGAAGTGGAAGAGGAGAAGAGAAAAGGCTTAAAAATGTATTCCCAGTTCATGTGGCTCAATCGATTGATGCTAATAATTTGTTTTACTGCTAAAAAAGAATTAAATTAGACACCTTGTATGCGAATGTTACATTTTTTTAAATTTTAATTGTATAATAAAAAATAATTTTTAATTTATAATTTATTTTATTTATATATTATATTATTTAAATTTAAAATTTTTTACTTTATTAAAAAATTGTTAATAACTTACTTAAATAATTTTTCTTATCTTAATTGTATAATGAGAGGTATCGTCTTTTATCCTACTCACGTGTTATGTAACTCAAATTTAAAATTTTTTATTTTTAATAAAAAAATCACTAAATTATTTAAATAATTAATAATTACTTAAATAATTAATTCAAGAGTCATACTCGTTGAAAATCTCACAAAAGATTGGGTTTTTTTTTTTTTTTTTTTTTTTTTAAATCAAGCGGGAATACAATGTACTTTTTATCCAAAAATTTAAGGCACACAATTTTGGAAATGGCATTATTGAAATGGGTCCAAATAGAACCATACCAACCTTGGAAAACCTAATAGTTACGGCACCTATTTTTGTAGACTGATGACCACATTGAATACCATGGCAATTAATGGCTCTGCTTCCCTGAATTAATCGGCGACCTTCTTTCAGAATTTTTGCCATCATTATACATACTCGGTTGATAAAATTGGTTGAATAGTAGACATTCATATGGACATAATTTACTGTCAAATAAAATCTTTAATTTTTGAAAAATTTGTAAATGAGATTTATGTTTTTCATGTTAAACTATATAATAAAAGTACAGTTAAAATACTAAAATTACTAAATGTTATTCATAAAATGATATAAGGAAGAGTTTCATAAGTTTCATAACTCAAGATCCATTGGTCTAAATGAAGATAATTTAGTTTTCATTAAATAAAGTTTCAAAGAGGGCTTCCCTTTATTAGATCTAACTTGATTTAATTTTAAATTAATTAAAATTCAATATGACTTTCAAATATTGAAAGGTTAGTATTAAAAAAAATAAATAGAGTTTCATAAAAGGTTTTTTTTTTTTAGAAATTTATAAGTCAAATTGCAATTTATTATACAATCTAACCTAAAATTTTCATTTTTGTATGTAAATTATATCTAAAAGAGTTTTAGGCTAACTTAGAATA